AAAAAAAAAAAAAAAAAAATATATGGACATTTCATATATAATATATACAAATATATATGCGTATATACGAACATAATATGCTTTTATATATTTATATATATTTAAATATAAATTTTTTACTGGGCTATAATTACCTCGTTATGTATTGTATTATTAAATTTATAATAGTTTACATTGTCTACATGAAAAGAATGTAATACATAAACAATACATAAATAATCCATAAGGGACTTGATTAGATGGTGTGAATGGAAGCGCAAGGGTAACGTAGAAAATGTATAAGAAAGAATAGCGAATAATAGGCGAGTTTTGCGAATAATTAGATTAGAACATGTGATTCCACGAGAGCGGGCAATAAGGAAGCCGAGAGAGTGGAGGCAGAGGTAGGCGATAATCTGGTAGATAATAGGAGACAGGCGAGAGAGCGTGGCGAAAGAGATGGCGGGAATTATGGCGGGAAAGGACAGTGGGCACGACCAGCGGGGGAACAGGAAGTCAAGGTAAAACAGGAAGCAACAAAAAAAGCTAACCGAGAGAAGAAAAGGTGTATTCATGAATACTAGGGAAAAAGGCGAAGCGGATAGAATGAAAAAAGAATTGCGAGAAATTGTGGAGAGGAGGATAGAAGATATGAGAAAGGAAATACAGGGCAGAAAGAGAAAAAGGGAAGTATACAGTTGCATGGAAAAAAAAATCAAAATCTGAAGGAGGAATGGGCGAAACAAAAAAAGGAAAAGGCAGAGGTTAGAATAAGAGAATTGACAGAGAAAAGCAGAGAGTTGGAGGTCAAATTTGCAGTTAGAGAGAGGTTAGGGAGAGGTTAGCTAGAAGTAGGGAAAGAAGTAGGGAGAGAGTAGAAAGCAGTAGGAGAGAAGAGAGTGAACAGAAAGAGACCAGGAGTGGAGTAAATGGCAGAGAAAAATACAGCATATATGCAGAGGCAGGGGCGGTTATTATTGAGGAAGAGCTGAGTTATAGAGAAGTCAATACACTGAAAAGATGGATAATAAATAGCAAAAGAGAGAAAAGGAGATTGAACTTTGTTATAAAAGGGATAAATATAGAGATAGAATCCAAAGGTAGAGAAAAGGAGCAGAAAAAAAGAGAGGTATGGGTAAAAGAGTGGATAAAAGAAAAGTTAGAGGTTGAATGTAATATAGTTGCGGTTAGAGAGAGTGGTAACGTATATGTAGTTGAGGTAGAGGGAGAAGAGAAAAAAAAAGGAAATGAAAATGAAAAATAAGCACAAGTTAAAAGGGAAGAGAATATTTATAGAAAATGACTTAAGCTGGAAGGAAGGGAAAATTCAAGAAAAAATTAAATAAATAGGCAAAAGAGCAAAGAGGCAAGGGAAAAGAGGTAAAAGGATTAGGAAAAGTGAGAGTGGAAGGAGCGTGAAAGAGATGGATAGAAATAGAAAAAGAGGCGGAGAGAAATAAAAGAAATGTAGGAGAGAACGAGGAGAATAATGCTAGGGACAAAGCGAAGAAGAAGCGGCTGAGCTAAGAAGGAGAGACGGAAGAGGAGGAGATAAAAACGAGGATCGAAGAGGAGACAGGTAAGAGAGTAGAGGGTGTCAATAAAAGAAAGAGGAAAAGAAAATATATAAGGGGAAAGATACGAAGAAACGGAAAAATAAAAGAACGTATAGAAGTAAGGGGGGAAGAGGGTAAAGGTAATAAGAGGAAGGAGGAAAGAGAGAGAGAGATATGTTGTTCTGGAATTGTGCTGGAGGGAATAAAGATAGATTTTTGGAGGTATGTGAAAAATTTTGATCTTATCAGTTTATGTGAAACATGGATAGAGGAAAAGGATTGAGAGAATTTAAAGGATTGCCAAGAACAAATATAGGGAGGGCTAATAATAGGGCGGTACATTTTGCAAGGGAAGAGAGACGAGGAAGGGCTAATAATAGGGCGGTTTTATAATAGGGAAAAGAAACAATTTCAAGGAGATAGGCTACAAGAAGAGAAAGTATAATAAATATGATTTAGTAATAAATAAGGAAAGAGTAAGGGGTTATCTCGGTTTATGGAGAACAAGGAGGAAAAAATTTGGAGGAAAAGATGGAAAGATATATAAGGGAAGGAGAAGGAAATTTAATCGTGGGAAGAGATCTAAATATAAGATTAGGGGAACTAAGAGGAATGGAAAAGAGGGAGAAGGGATGGGGAGATATAGCAAGGATAAAACTATAGGAAATAAAGATAGGAGCTTTATGGAATGGGTAAGAGATAAAGATTTGTAAAGCACATCGAGGGACTGGGAGAGCGAATATACGTAGGAGCGAGGAGCAGCTCGGTTATAGATTACGTAATGA